ACTCATGGAAAGAGAAAGGATGTGTGTTGGCAGCCAGGTGCTTGTGGCCAGGGGGCAGGCTTACAGAATGTGTCCTTGGGTTATTTAAATGATTAGATATTCCTGAGTGTTTTTGTGTATATCTCCCTGCCCAAAACAAAACAAAGGGAATAGAAGCAAATACTGTTGAATGATGATGCACAGAGGATACTGTAATCATTGCAATGAAATGATGAGTATAAAACTGATGTTCCTCCATGTACGCTAAAGCTGAAGAAAATTAAAGCAAGTCCATGAGACCAAAAATATAACGCTGAATATATCCCACCTGAATTTAGAAATCATTTGAAGAACAGCTTTGATACATTAAACACCAAAGACCGTAGACCAGAAGAGTTGTGAAATGATATTAAGAACATCATACAGGAAGAAAGCAAAAGGTCATTAAGAAGACAAGAAAGAAGGAAAAGACCAAAATGGATGTCAGAAGAGGCTCTAAAACTTGCTCTCCAACAGAGAGGTACTAAAGCAAATGGAAGAAATGAAGAAGTAAAAGAGCTAAACAGAAAATTTCAAAGGGCAGCTCAAGAAGACAAAGTCAAATATTATAATGAAATGTGCAAAGACCTGAAGTTAGAAAACTAAAATGGAAGAACATACTCAGCAGTTCTAAAAATGAAAGAACTGAAGAAAAAAATTCAAGCTTCACCTTGTAATACTGAAGGATTCTAATGGACTCCTGGTGTGGCACTGTTGGTTTATGTGCTGGCTAGCAAAGTCCACTTGAGCCAGGAGGCCCGTGGTTCAAGTTCACCAGCTGCTCCTTGGAAACCCTATACAGGGTCGCTATAGGTCAAAACCCAACTCGAAGGCACTTAACACACAACATGGGCAAAATATTGAATGATGCAGAAAGCATCAAAAGAAGATGGAAGGATTATACAGAGTTCCTGTACCAAAAAGATATGGTCAATGTTCAATCATTTCAAGAGGTAGCATATGATCAAGAACCATTGATGCCAAATGAAGAAGTCCAAGGTACACTGAAGGCACTGGCAAAAAACAAGGCTCTGGGAATTGATGAAATACAAATTGAAAGCTTTCACCAAACTGAGGTAGCACTGGAGGAATTCACCCATCTATGCCAAGAAATTTGGAAGACAGACTTGGTCAACTGACTGGAAGAGATCCATATTTGTGCCCATTCCAAAGAGAGGTGACCCAATGGAATGCAGAAATCATCAGACAGTATTATTATTGCAAGTAAGTAAGACTTTGCTAAAGATAATTCAAAAACGACTGCAGCAGTACATTGACAGGAGGCCAGAGGCTCAGGCCAGATTTAGACAGACATGGAACAAGAGATATCATTATTGACATAACATGAATCTTGGCTGAAAGCAGAGAATACCAGAAATATGTTTACCTGTTTTTACAGACTATACAAAGGCTTTCAATTATGTGGATTATGACAAGTTATGAACAATACTGTGGAGAATGAGTATTCTGGAACACTTTATTGTGCTCATGAGGAACCTGTACATAGACCAAGAGGAAATCATTCAAACAGAACCAGGGGACACTGAATTGCTTAAAATTAGGAAACATGTGTGCCAGAGTTGTAGCCTTGCACCATATTTATTTAATCTGTATGCTGAGCAGATAATCCAAAAAACTATATTATATGAAGAAGAACGTGGCATCAGGACTGGAAGAAGACTCATTAATAACATGCGATATGCAGATACAAATTTGCTTGCTGAAGGCAAAGAGGACTTAAAATACTGATTAAGATCAAAGACCACAGTCTTTGGTACAAATTGTACCTCAATGTAAAGCAAACAAAAATCCTCACCACTGGATCTATAAATAACTTCATGAAAAACGGAGAAAAGACTGAAGCATCAAAGACTTCATTATGCTTGGATTAACCATCAACACTCACGGAAGCAAGAGTCAAGAAATCAAATGATATATTACATCAGAAAAATCTATTGCACAAGACCTCTTTAAAGCGTTCAAAAGCAAAAATGTCAGTTGAGGACTAAGATGCACTGATTCAAGCCATGGTATTTTCAGTGGCCTCATATGCATGTGAAAGCTGGCCAATGAATAAGTAAGACCATAGAAGAATTGATGCATTTGAGTTATAGTGTTGGAGGAAAATATTAAAAGTCCCATGGACTGCGATAAGAACAAATAAATCTGTGTTGGAAGTACAGTCAGAATGCTCCTTAGAATCCACGATGGCCAGACTTCAACTCTTATATTTCAGACATACTATCAGGAGGGAGCAATCCCTGGAGAAAGACATCATGCTTGGAGCTCTGGTAGCATAGTGGTTACAAGTTGGGCTGCTAACCTCAAGGTCAGCAGTTTGAAACTACAAGCAGTTTCATGGGAGAAAGATGAGGCTTTCTGCTCCCATAAAGATATACAGCCTTGGACACCCTATACATGGTCACTATGGGTCAGAACTTACTCGACAGCACTTAACAACAACAAAAGTGTGTTAGACTGGTGAAAAAGAGGAAGACCACTTAGCAGAGTGGTAGCTTAATGGGCTCAAGTGTAGCAACGATTGTGGGATTGGTACAGGACCCGGAAGTGTTTCATTCTGTTGTACATAAGGTCACTATGGAATCAGTACCTACTTGAGGGCACCTAACAACAACTAAACTACAAACTACAGCCCGTGGTTCAAATTCACCCCACTACCTAATTTTGCTTGGTGTAGTGCTATAGGAAAAATACTAGATGGCTAAACACAAGCTTGGCAGTTCAAATCTACCAGCCATTCCTCTGAAACTCTATTCAGGGTCACTATGAGTCAGAACCAACTTGATGGCACTTAACAACAACAAATCTAATTCTGCATGCTCAAAATGTCATTCATATTTTTAAATGATTTTAAAAAATTGAAGAACAATATTTTCTGATACATGAAAATTATATGAAATTCTAATTCAGTGTTCATAAACAAAACCTTACTGGATTTATATAGCATGCTCATTTGTTTATATATTATCTATGGCTGCTTTTGTATGATAATAACAGAGTTAAGTGGGCAACAAAGGAAGTGTATGGACCACTAAGCTGAAGATACTATCTGCCCGTTTATAGAAAACCTCTATCCACCTCTGAGTAGGGGAAGCCCAGATACTATTTTCCTAAAGTTAGGACCTAAAAATCAGAGAGAAGAAACCACCACCTGACAAAATGCACAGGGAACATGAAAAGCAGTACCAGCGTTCCGTAACTGCCAAAGTACTCTTCATCTTGCCATGAGTCTTCAGGACCATACTCCTCCAAGTGTTTGCCAACGTGGTTAGCTGGTATGTAACCACAGCTGCCTGCAAGCTCACCCCACCACCAATCAACAGTAGTTTGCCTCAGGATAAGAATTTTTTCTCCTCTCAAAAAACTGAGCTGGGAAAAGGAAAACAAAAAACAAAAAACAAAAATTAAAGTGAATAATCCAATAGTAAAACCAGTAATTGGTATTTCAACTATTGCTCGGTAACTGGTATTTAAATTATTGCTCAAATAAATCCTGTCAGCCACATCCTGGCAATTTCAAAAAGTTGTCGGTGGGTAATCACCCAACCCTACCCACTGTCAACTAGTTGATTCCAACTCATAGCAATCCTATACAGGGTTTCTGAGGCTCTAAATCTTTAGGGAAGCATAAAGCCTCATTCTCCCACAGAGCGAATGCTAAGTTTGAACTGCTGAGCTTGTGGTTAGCAGTCCAATATTCATCCTATAGCACCACCAGGATACCTTATGGGTAATTATAGCAACAGGCAATCTTAAAAATGGATCTAGGATTAAGAGATTTTTGTGAAACACCTTCTAAAAGAACAACACTGCTTATTTGATATTTTCAAAAAGAAAATGAAAGGCTAAACATTTCAATATGACTTAAAACAGAATTTTTAAACAACCTCCTCTTTGTTGTTCCTCAGCTGTGCAGTAGCCAATTTAGTGACTGGAAACTTACTCTAAAAATAATCCCTGTTACAAAGTTAGAAACGTTGCAGTCACTCAGGTAAATATCCTGATTTTGTACTGTGAGCTTTCATTAACTAGAATAAATTCTTAATCTAGGCTGACAAGCAAAAACTGGACCAGAAGCTTTTTGCCACCCTGCTGATAACTTTTTTCTTATCCAAGTGTCTTTAATGTCATGTGGGGTCAGTTTTTGTTAGGCAAGAAAGAAAAAAGTGTTTTGGGTGCTGTAGGATAAACACTGGGCAACTAACTGCAAGGCTGCTGGTTCAAATACACCAGCCACTCATTGGAAACCCTTTACAAAGTTGCCAAGAGTTAGAACCCACTGGAAGGCACTTAATCACGACAATAACACCTGGATACATCTTTATTTAACTTTGGTGTGACTTTTGATTAGGTCCCCAAGATAAGCAAAATTTAATCCACTTTGCCACTGAGGACACTGAAAGTCATAAAAATCGGGATCTAATAAGCAAGCGTACTTCCTCAAGCCGGCGGCACACAGACCTGTGTTTCATCAGTAGCAGAATAGTCTGCAATGGCCACAAACTCCTCAGGCTGCACACTCTCCTGGAGGCACCTTTCTTCACTGTGCTCGCTGGCTGCTTCTTGCTCCTGCTCAAAGCCAAAAAAATCACAAGGAAGTAAAGATAACTTTCTTAAACAGAAATCACTTTTTTTCCCTATTGAAGTAGTATGATTTGTTTTCAAGCAGCACTGTTTACTTTTTGGCTCTGTTTCCCTCTCCTGCCCTTGTTACACTTATAACATCCTTCTTTATCCTCATCACCATCTCTATATAATCCATGTTAACAAGCTGGTGCATAGCCTTTCATACTTTCTCCATGCTTGTGTTATGTGCAACTACACTCACACCCAAACACACACAAGGTATTTTTCTTCTCTTGGCATTCTCAAAAACTATGCTGCTATAATTGTGTGTCATCGAGTCAATTCCAATTCATAGTGGCCCTACAAGATAGAGTAGAACTGTTCCATAGGGTTTCCTAGTGTGGCGCTGTGGAGTAATGCGCTGGACCACAAGGCTGGTTTGAACCGCAAGGCTGGAGGTTCAAATTCACCAGCCACTCTTCAGAAACCCTATACAGGGTCGCTATGAGTCGGAACCAACTTGAAGGCACTTGACAACAACAACAGCAGTCTTTACGGGAGCAGATTGCTAAATCCTTTCTCTCATCAAGCAGCTGGTGGGCTTGAACCTCTGACCTGTCAGTTTTCTTTCAGTGCTTAGTAATTGTGCCACTGGGACTCCTTTTTCATATAGAACAGGCCCTGTTTGGGTATATATTGCTTGTCTTATTCATACACTGTGTTGGGGGGAAATTCTCCATGGTAGTTGGTATAATTATATCATTTGCAGTGGCCGAAAAACATTCCATAGTATGAATTCAGCCATTCTTATTGCTGGGCTTTATCTTGGTAACCAGTTTTTACTGCCATGCACCATGGTGCAGTAAACTTCTAAGCAAATATACATCCTGTATATAGTATTTCATTCCTATGTGATAGGTTGCCAGGAGCAGAACAGCAGATTTGAAGACTAAACTTGTTTTACATTCAAACATATGCCAGATTCTTTTCATAAAAGTTGTAACAGTTTACAATTCTCCAGCAATGCATAATAATATCTTTTGTCCTAACATTTAGCATGGACAGGCATTATCATAGTCTTTAATTTTTGCCAAGGTGACAAGTATAAAATGATTTCTCACAGTTATTTCATATAAATTCTTCAACTATTAAGCCTTCACAGGCTTACTGTTCATTAGGATATTTTACCAGTTGTTTTATCTGGCTGCTTATCTTTTTCATGTCAGAGCAGAAGAACCTTTTGTATGATATAATAAAATCATCTTGATGCAACTATATTTTTCCAAATTTATTTGTCTAGTTATTTTCTTTTAAATCAGCAAACTCAAAGTCAAGTCGATATAAATTATCTAAACTGATGCAAAGAAAAGAAAAAGATTAAAAAAAAAAAAAAAAAACCAAGAACAGAGCATGATATATGCTTTGTTGTTGTTGTTGTTAGGTGCCATCGAGTCGGTACCGACTCATAGCGACCTATGCACAGCAGAACGAAACACTGCCTGAACCTGGGCCAACGTCACTACTGTTGCCATGTTTGAGTCCATCGATGCTGCCACTTGGTTATAACCCATCTCGTTGGGGGTCTTCCTCTTTTTCTCTGACCCTCCACCTTACAAAATATGATATCCTTCTCCAGTGTCTGGTCCCTCCTGGGAATATGTCCAAAGTATGAGAGATGAAGTTTGGCCATCTTGGCCTCCAAGGAGCACTCTGGCTGCACTTCTTCCAAAACAGATCTGTTGGTTCTTTTGGAAGCCCATGGCACTTCCAATATTCTCCTCCAACACCATAAATCAAAAGCATCAATTCTTCCATGATCTTACTTATTCACTGTCCAGCTTTTGCATGCATATGAGGTTATTGAAAATACCATGGCTTGGGTCAGGTGCACCTTAGTCCTCAAGCTGACATCTTTGCTCTTCAACACTTCAAAAAGGTCTTGTGCAGCAGATTTGCCTAATGCAATACCTCGTTTGATTTCTTGACTGACATGTGCTAGACAATATCACACAATCTAACATGCATGTAAGTTGAGCTGCATCAAAACAAGTATGAAAATGAGGCAGAAAAAATAACCATAAACATAAAGAGTGGAATTTTTTCCAAAAGTAAGTAAGGGCATCAGCTCAAAGATGCAAACAGCTCAGCTAACTACACGCAGTATAAATATCATGAAAACAATTTAAAATTAAAGATAATGAGATAAATACAATCAATAGGGAAAAAATATAGATTTCATCTAAGACAACAAGTAAGATTAACATCTGACTCCTCATCAAAACAATGATAACAAGATGACAATGACTTATTGCAGGTTTTTTATTGTTTCTTTTTAAATGACTTCACATTGTAAGACTCTTAGGGTTAGCTGCACTTAACAGCCCCCATATTTTGCCCTGGTGTTATCACATATTTGATTTTAAACCATGATACATTGATTTTGTTGCTTTATACTGTTGCAAGTATTTTTTTTATGTTAAAAGAAAGACTTTTTTTTTCCCCACAATTTACTTTTTCTGGTGATCATTTTCCTTAAGCCTGAAAACTCTTTTTTAGAATTTTTTGTAATGCATGTCTGCTTGTGCAGAATTATTTCAACTTTGGGTTTAATAAAACGGAGTTTTCACTCTATGTTGCTTTCATTCTGTAAAGATAATTGTCTTCTGGTTTTCATTGTTTAAATTAGTAGTCAGATGTCAATCCTATTGTTGTTTTCTTACATGGCACCTACAGGTTAACCTCTACCACTCGTCTGTCAGTTTGTTGTACTGTGGTGGCTTGCACATTGCTGTGATTCTGGAAGCTATGCCACGGGTACCTAAAATATCAGCAGAATCACCCATAGTAAACAGGTTTCAGCTGAGCTTACAGACTAACACAGACTGGGAAGAAGGAGAGACAGACTACTTCTAAATATTTAGTCACTGAAAACATTATGAATAACAGTGGAACACTGTCAGTACCAGAATACTGTATATTGAAATATGATGAAGCATACCAGAATACTGTCAGATACAGCACCAGGTTAGAAGACACTCAAAATACGACTGGGAAGAGCTGCCTCCTTAAAGCAGAATTGACCTTGATGATGCAAATGCAGTAAAGCCTTTAGAACCTTCATTTCCAGCTGAGGCACAACTCAAAATGAAGAGAAGCAGCTGTAAACATCCATTAATAATCAGAACATGGAATGCACAAAGTATGAATCTAGGAAAATCTGAAGCTATCAAAAATAAAATGGAACATATAAACATTGATATTCTAGGAATTAGTGAACTGAAATGGACTGGTATTGGCCATTTTGAATCTGACAATTGCATGGTTTATAAGTCAGGAATAACAAATTGAAGAAGAATGGCATCACTTTCATCATCAAAATATACATTTCAAAATCTATCTTGTCTGCGATAGGATGTTGCAATGTTGTCTGCGATAGGATAATATCCAAGCACCTACAAGGAAAACTGAAGACCAGAAGAGTTGTGGGATGACATCAAGAACATCATGCATGAAGAAAGCAAAAAGCTATTAAGAAGACAAGAAAGAAAGAAAAGATCAAAATGGATGTCAGAAGAGACATTGAAACTTGCTCTCCAGCGTAGAGATGCTAAAGCAAATGGAAGAGGAGGTCCAAGAGCTGAACAGAAAATTTCAAAAATCAGCTCGAGAAGACAAAGTCACATATTACAACAAAATGTGCAAAGATCTGGAGTCAGTAAACCTTAAAGGAAGGATCACGCTCAGCATTTCTCAAGCTGGGGGAACTGAAGAAAAAATTCAAGCCTCAACCTTCGTTATTACAGGGTTATCTGGGCAAATTATTGAATGATGCAGAAGCATCAAAAAAGATGGAAGGAATACACAGAGTCACTGTACC